CCAGGTGACCGGTGAGGTCCTGTCTGTGAGGCGGGCTGAGCCTGTGAGGACGGAGTAGTGTTCTCAGGCCAAGTAGGGAATGATCAGAGTACACTAAGTTCGCTATTTACATTTTCCTCCAGGCTGACCCGGGGTGAATGACAATAGGATGCCAAAGATTGAAATAGCACAGGGGGGAAGTGGCTGATCTGTGTCCCTTTTTGATAACTTCATGCATGGTTGCCTAGGAGAAAGCTGGGTTGGAAACCAGGTTTAAAGTTTGCCATTTAGCAGACACCCCACGAGCCCTTACCCGCCCTGCCCAGGGCACGGAAGGTGTTATGTGTGCCTTGAGATACAATAAAAACTTGTCACAGGATGCCCTGCGCCAGTGTGGGTTTTGGGTGGGCTGCTGGACAACGTGGGCACTCAGATCCTAGGGATTCAGCGATTGAGAACTTGTTTGGTTGTAAATGATCAAGATTTAGAACTTGTCTGTTGGTAAGGGGCCGAGACCAATCCTGTCACTTCATAGGTTCTTGGCTCGGCAGAAGGAAAACTTTCCCACCCTGGAGAAACTTGTCTGAACCTCCCTATGGCAGAGGGACTTAGGTACCTCAAGGTACTCCGTTTTTATTCAATTTGTCCCCCCATCCAAGCATCCAAGAGTCCATCCCCCATTTGCTGAACCTGTGTGGTCCAGCGGTTCTTATTTTTGGGCATAGAATCAGACATGGACCCCTGTCCTCCAAGTTTCCAGGAGTGAAAGAGAACACACACACGATGTAAAAAGAGGTACTACGCTAGGAGGGCCGTGAACTCGGAGGGAAATCAAGGAAGGCTTGGTGGAGGAAGCGACATTTGGCCTGGGCTGAAACGGGAGAGAGGGAGACCCCAGAGGGGGGTGTCCCATGTGCCGAGGACAGAGTTTATTAAGGATATACAGTTTGGGGAAAGACTGGTCACTTTTTTTTTTTTTTAAGATTTTATTTATTTGAGATAGAGCGAGAGGGAGAGGGAGGAGAGAATGAGCAGGGGAAGGGAAGGAGCAGAGGCAGAGGGAGAAGCACACTCCCCTCTGATCAGAGAGCTCAGTGTGGGACTCGATTCTGAGATTCCGGGATCGTGACCTGAGCCGAAGGCAGACACTTAACTGAGCCACCCAGGCGCCCAGACCGGGCATTTCTTCAAACATATCCTGTGGCTTTTGCTACCGAAAGACCAATGCCATGCCGAACGAATCCCTGAGATGAGGCGGACTTCGCCTATCCTGACTGCTGGGCAGTGTCAGGAGTTGACCCCTGGGTGCATCTTGACTTTGGAGCTCCTCATGGGTTGCAGCCCTACAGGAACGGAGCTGCGCATGCTCTCTCCGGTCAGGTGTGCTGCATTTCCTCCGTGGGACCTCCGTTCCGGGCACTGACAGTGAATGATTTTCAAACGTGTCCGCTTAAGATCAATGAGCACTCAGAGTAGTGAGCTCAGGCGCTCTTCGAATAAATGAATGTAGGATTTATCCTATGCATGATGCCACTTCCCTAAAATAATTCCGATTATCCTGTGTCCGTGGATTCAACCGAGCAGATATTTATCTGGCGTGTACTGTGATGGGTGCCGTAGGGGAGGCAAAAATACATAGAGCGGCCTGGCCGAGATGGAGTTTCCAAAATGCTCCAGACACTCTGAACGCGTTGTCTCACTTGAAACCTTTCAACCACCCTGTGAGGCTGGGGATTCTATCCCCATTTTACATACAAGGGAATACATAACTGGCCCAAGATCACAGATTGACGGCAGGATTTGAATCTATGGCAGTAGGAACCCCAAACAAGGACCCCAATGACGGGGCGTAAGTGGACTGGGAAAGGTATAAACACATTGCCTGGTGGTTCAGAGGACGGTGAAACCTCCAGCTGGAAAAGCATCATGGAAAAGGTGGCATTTGAAATGCGCCTCCAGTGCGCGGATTTTCACATTTGAACAGGGAAGCTTCCAGGCTGAAGGCAGCTCTGGACAGAGGTGTGAAGGCTGGAAGGCAGCGGGCGGGGGCAGGTTCTGGGTCCGGTGGTGGTGGTGGGGGTGGGGGTGGGGGGAGTATAAAGAAATATATATGGCAGGATCACCGAGGCTGGAAAAGCAGATGACGCCAAGCTTGAATGCCAGGGGTTGGTGGCCAATGGGAGCTACTGATGGTTCAGGGGCAGAGGAGGGAGCGACGTGATGGAAATCAAACTGGGGGAAGATGAAGCCGGCCTCGGTGGTCAGGATGGTGATTGGCTGGAAGAGGGAGGTCCTGATGGTCTAGTCTTGCTCTGGGAAAGCATTAGTATAGAATAACGTGTCCGTCTGCCGGTTGGCCACACCTGATGTGTCTCTATCTTTGGCATCATTCAGCTAGGGACCCCAGACGGAGGTCTGTGAAATCCTAATCGGAAACTCCAATGCGCTTTGATTTCTAATCACTTACTCAGCAAGTTACTTGATCAAACATTTCATTAGTAGCTTTTGTTAGGGGTTAAGGGGGAACAAAGCAAATCAATTCAAATCGTGCCTTCAAAATTGGAGAGGCAATCTATAAGCATTCAGGTAATGGAGTCCCTCCCCCAGCCTTGAGGTAGCCCCCAGGCCTCATGCATCCCTTCATTCAGTGAATTAATAAACAGAAAGCACTTAGAACAGTGCCTGCTAAATGCCAAGACTTGATAAAGTGTCAGCTATCATTATGGTTGTCGTTCATTCACAGAACCTGAACGCTTACTAGGTGCTAGGCATTGTTCTGTACTTTCACAAACGCTAACTGATTGACACCTTGCCACAACCAGCCTGCCCGGGAAGCATCCTTGTTCCATTTGGCCCCATGTTAGGGCTTTTGGGATTTTAATGGGCACGCAAATCACCCAGGCGGTGGGAAGGGTGTGTGTGTGGGGGGTGGTTCTTGTTGACCTACAGGTTCTGCCTCCGTGAGCCTGGGGTCAGGTCCGAGATCTGCATCTCTAACAAGTTCCCCGAGGATGCAGCTGCTAGTTTCCATGGGCTACATGGAGCAGCGGGTCTGGAACAGAAGCCACTGTTGCTAACTGGCTGAGCAGGGAGGTCTTGACCTGGAAACTGTGACCTCAAGTTCAGGGATTTTTCAGCTCTTTCCGCAAGTCTGCTGCTGACAATCAAGTGTGAGTCCCCCAGACATGTACACGGAATTCAGACCCGTTGATTCATTCACTGAACATTTATTGATCACTGGGAAAACAGGCTGCACCAGGTTTATTTCGTTAAGTTCCAGTTTCCACTCTGCTGGATGCCACACACCTGTCGGGTGAGCAGGTGCCCGTCCCGTTGCTGCCTTACATCCATCGCTCCCAGAGCATAAGCTCTCTCCATCTCCCCAAGCCTGTTCCCTCTTCCTGTGCGACTCACTTATGCAGCGGTATCTATCACTCTAAGATGTTTGTAAGGGCTCTGTGGTTATTTCTCAGCATATTTATTATTGGCAATGCCAAGGGACTGATTTCACTAGCCTGGAAGCTACTTTGCTCCCTGTTGAAGGGAAATCCACGTACAAGCTGAATTTAGGTTTCCTCCTCGTAGCCTAAACCAAGTGGACACCAGAGGGCGCCTCAGGACCACTCTTCCCAACAAATGCGCTTGCTCGGTTCCCCAATCCCCGTGTTGCCCTAAGACTCTTTACCAAGCATCAGCACCATTCACAGCGGCAAGGGGGGCTCACCTGCTCCCTACTTTGTTTTTGCTAACATAGAACTTCTTCACCTTTCAAAGTTTATGATCATCCCTTTGATTTCTTCTCAGCTCTTTCTTGCCCTCAAAGTCCCAAAAGTTGCACACACGCCATGAAAAGGACAAAGGGCGTGAACATTTATTGCGTGTCTGCTATGAGCTTTGTCCCCTCCATGTAGTACCTTGCCCCATGCTTGTCTCATTGAATGGGCTCATTCCCATCAGGGCAGGTTTTATCCGCATACTGTACATAGAGAGTGGAGATAATTCTGTCCATAGTTAGGAGTAGAATCTGCTGAAGTACATTGCTTCCAGGATAGGCTGTATCCCACTTGGGAGGAATCCTTCGGTGCTTTAAATTCTTCGTGGCTCCAGAGTTAGATACTGGAGGCTGACATCTTTCCTCTTCCCCTCCCCGTATCAGGAGCCTGACCCGGCTTGGGCACACTCGCAGTGGCCCTTCTCTGGGCATTCTGGGCTGTCCAAGATGACAGCCATACATGGCCACACGGAGTGTCACTGGTTGATACCAATTCGTGAAGAAACACAGGCACACTGGCTGGGAGTGAGGACATCCTTGCAGGTAGAACTTCCCCTCTCTGACCCCTGGCCGCCTCTCTGTCAAAGGAGGGGTTTGGATAGAATGATTCTAGAGCTTCTTTTCACACTTAGCCAGTCTGCTAATGGGGATGGATTTGAGGCCCGATGACATGGTGGGGACAATATTTTTAGGTTGGTATTTTTCATGCTTCTCACATGACACCATATGGCCAGATATATTCCTTCTGGAGATCGCCATTATTGTCTTGCATAAGATTGTAGAATGTTAGAAAAAGAGAATCACGAAAACTCACTCTAAGGGGAGATGGAGAGGACAGAATGTTAGGATCACCCGCAGGGGTCACCGTGTCACATCGGCTCCTGACGGGTCCCCAGTGCTTAGCACGTTGCTGGCACATGGTAGAGACTCAAAAAAAAAAAAAAAAGTGAATGAATAAAACTGCAGACTCATGAAATCCTATAATGATAGAATCTGAGGATCAGAAAATATTAGAATTATGGGACAACACTTCTTCAGAAGAGGGAACGGAGATCTCAGGGCTGGGTTATAGAATCTTCTGGGTGCTAAAGAGTCCCTTGGCTCTTCCTAGGGGGACCAGTGATGGGTCCAGGCCACAGTCTGGGAGCTCTCAGGGAGGGATGGGTGTGCGGGAAAGGAATTTTCTGGGGGGAGGGCCTTTGGTGTCAGTGCTGCCCAGGCCTGGGGCCGCGGGAGGCGGGGTCCGGCCCTAGCAGGGCGGCGTGGGGCCACTGCACAGCTTCTTGGGGTAACGGACGAAGTTGCGGTTGTAGGTGCCCAAGTTGCGGCGGAAGCAGAGGGCGGCTGTCCGGTCACACTCGCAGGTCTGACGCTGGCAGGCGGTTCTGCCGGCTGATGGGACAAGGTGAGTCAGGGACCCAGTGGCTCGGGCTTCCCGCTCTCTGGGGTCCACGTTCTCTGTCCCATTCTGCTGGAAGCCCACAGCTGCGGGGACGTTTCGGGTGTGGGTGAGAGATGGGGGGCCTGGGGGCTGCTCAGGACGCTGGGAAGCTGGGGGAAGTCTGTTCTGGCTGTTCTTCCTTCCTCTCCCAAGCTCACGCAACGCCCCCCACCCCCTACCCCAGGCCCTCTGGCCGGCCCGGAGACCACGTGGTTCTCTAATGCACCTGCTCCAGCCCCGGGATGGATTTCTAGACAACCCCTTCCCCACGGGAGGCATGGATGGTGGTGGAGTGGGGCCAGCAAGCTGACAGGGGAGCAAGAATGACACCGACTCAGTCCCAGGTGGCCCGTGGGCCCCGGAGAAGCCTGGGCCCAGACTGGAGCCCGCTGGGACGGAGGCTGGGGGCCTGCTCGGGCCCTGGGCCTGTCTCCATCCGAGGGGACAGAGCCCGTTTTCCTGGCATTTATCTTGGGGCCGCTCTCTATGTGTGTGCTTACACCCGGCCTGGGGTCAGAGCTGGCTTTGGCTCTGCAGGCACTGGGGCCCCAGAGCCTCCCCTTCTCCCCACCCCCTCTGTCTGCCCTCAGTGGCCCTGGCTTCTCTCTGTCCCCAAGAACACATGTCACAGAAATGTCCAGGGATCCTCATTTGCCCTCAAAGGTCAGCCTCCACTTCCCACTGTGGGTTCTGCCCGCAGCTGCTATTCCAGCAAAACTCAGGGGTTTATCAGCCACATTTGTTCTTTTGGGTGGTTCTTGCTGGGAGCTGGATTAAGCTGGGGAGTGAGTGTGATTGGCTCCCTTTTATAGAGGAAGAAACAGAGGCTTTTGAGAGGTTACATCTCTTGCCCAAATTCAGCCAGTGAGGAGAAGGTGAAGCCCTGAGCCTCTGACCCCGTTCTCCTGACACCTCTCCTCAATCATCCCCCTCGGTGCCACCCGGACAGGTGCCATCCCCTCAGGGCCATCCCTTGCATAAACCTCCACAGATGGGGAGTTCACTACCTGTCAAAGCTGCCTTACGGAGTAGATAGATAGCTGCAGGGGCAAGAGACTGAGCTAAATTTGCCTTTGGTGGCTCCGCCCCCTCCCCCAGGACAGATCTTCGTGATCTGAGCTGTCTTCTTGGACCCTCCTGGGTTCTCCTGCCATCCCCTCACTCGGCACTGCCCTCCCTCCAGGCTGCGCCTGGCTTTGGAGCTGGGAGGCCTGGTGCTCTGATCTGGGCCCCCTCCACGGGGCCCGTCTGCATGGAGCCCTCCACACTGTCACTTGGTCCAGGCTGCTTCCCTGGGGCTGGGGACGAGGAAAACTAATTGGTCCAAGTGGGCATTGGATCTGGGAAAGCTGAGCAAGTAGGTCCAGCCTGACAGCCTCCCTGGGGAGAGTCAGCCTTTGGCAATGGGGTCTGCTGTCCCAAATCATAGCTCCAGCTCTGTCTGGGACTGTGCCCTCGAGGCTCTGTCCTGGGGACCTTGCTCCGGACCTTGCTGCCCAGGCCCTGGAGAGGGCATGTGGGTACAGCCCCTCTGGGCCTGGCTCAGCTCTGCCCCCTTTGCGCCTCCTTCCCAGAGGCTGGAGCTGGCTGGGCCTCTGGTGGGGCGAAGCACCTGCGGCCAGGGCAGGAGCCCACAGGTCCCGGGATCTTTAGACTGGGGGCCAGGCGAGCATCCGGGTGGATGGCCAGTCCTCTCTACAGTGCCGTGACGATGGAAGACCCACCTCGCCCTTCTCTCTAGCCCAGGGTCCGGCCTTGATGAGGAACCAGGGGCCGCCATCAGGAGGGGGGGGTCCTGTCTGAAGCTGCCCCCCGCCCCCCGGACCCGCCCCAGTATCTGGGGCGCTCCAGAGCTGTTCATTTACCACAGAAGACGTTGTGCCTGCTGGCAGAGAAGAGATACCTCTCCAGTTTGGGTTCACAGCCCAGCTTCTCCAGGCGCCCATAGCAGCAGTCGTGGGCATGGCAGCACCTGGAAGGGTCACGGGCAACCTGGAGGGGCCTGTGAGCCAGGCTGGGCTGGACCAGGGGCTGCCGGGGGGCGGCGGAGGGGCAGGGCTCAAAGGGGCTCAGAGGAGAGGTCAGCCTCCACCTGCCAGGTGTCCCGGCTCCTCCCGGCCCCCGGGAGCTCCCGCTGCGGGCCGTCCGCTCACCAGTCGGTCTGGTCCACCGGCCAGTGGGAACCGCCGATACCACAGTGGCAGCCATAGTCATTGTACTGCAGCGCCGGCTTCCCCGTCACCCTCTCGATCATCACCCCGAACTGGACCAGGTTCCCGCCGGCCAGGGCCACTGCGGGCGGGGCGCGGGGGGCAGAGGCCAGCGGACCGGTCAGGGCCCTGCCCTCTGCGGCCGGCTTCCCTCGTGTCCCCCTCCAGTCTTGAGTCTAGACACCTGCCCGACTGTCCAGCCCGCCTCACCAAGCACCCTGCTCCCAATAACAGCGATGTGATCAGTAATAATATCCCCACGCTGTCCATCCCACCTTGATCCCTAGTGCTCACCCCGGTCGTGACACCGCACCCACTGCCCCTCCCACCCGCCTCCCTCCTCTCCAGAACACCACCCACTCACCCTCCTGCTTGCCCTCCACTGTGCCCCAAATGTCTCCCAGGGGGTCCTGATCATTTCCCCAGGCGTCAGCTCCATGCCCCCAGAGCACTCTGTCCCCACCACGTCCCATCAGATGCCACTGGATTGGCTTCATGACCACCAGGGCTTCCCCGAATGCCTGCAGATCCTGCTGATACAGCAACGGGGGGGCGGGTTGGAGCCAAAAATGGAAGGTAATGGGGAGGGGGTGGAGTGCAGGTGGCAGGAGCCTCGTGTGTGCTAGCTTGGGTCCCCACCAGCCCCTTTCCTGTGCCCTCCCAGGCCACCCGGGCTGCCGTCCCCCACCCCCACCCCGCCCTTCGTCCCTGGCCAGTGCTACCTCGGGCACAACTGGCCTTGAGATGACCCCCCACACCTTCCCTAGAGCCTGGTTCCAGGACATCCCGGGAGCTGTCGGTTCCCAGCCGGGGAGGAGGAAGAGGAAAGGTCACACAGATCACTTACCCAGGAGGCAAAGGAAGGTCAGAAGAGGGGGAGACTTCATCCTGGGGGGAGGGGGAGGTGAGCCGGGGACAGAGGAGCTGAGCTGCAGAAGGAAGTGAGCGGGGTGCCTCTGATCTCAGGGCACCTCCCCAATTAGTTAAATACTGGGTCCTTGTCCACTCCCCATCGTTAACCACCAAATGCCCAGTGATGCAACTATACCTCCAGGTCTTTGGTCAAGTTCCCAGGGGAGGGGCCAGCCTGGGGCCCATGGACTTGGTTTCCAGGCAGTTTTCAGGGAGCAACCTGTGGCTCTCTCCTTTCCCTGCTTCTCCCTTCACCTACCCTTTCCCAAAAATCATGGTGCTCGCTCCCGCTGGCTGGGCTGTGAGCCAGGGTCTGTACCAAGGGCTTTTCATTCTTGGCATCTTTTCCTCATCCCCGTTTTACTGATGCCGCAAGTGAGGCCCAGAGAAGCTGAGAAACTTCCGTCCACGTGGCCAAGTCTGTCCTGTTTCCATGGCACTAGCTACTGCAGCATGCTCTCTGCTCCCTGTCCCCCACCCCAGCCTCCATGTCACCTGGAGGGAGAGCACTGAGAGCAGCCTGGCCACGAGGCAGGACCCTGGGGACCCAGGGGGCCATTTGTCCAAGATCGAATAGGCCAGAGGCTGGGAGCTCAGCCAGCTGAGCTTAGGGATTTTTCTTCATTGTTCTTTCCTGGGCAGGCTCCTGCTTGTTTGACAAGCAGTGAAAACGCTCCCAGATGTGACTTCTGTCTCCCTAGGTCCCCAGACAGTGGTGCAGTGTGCAGCCGTAGAAATAGGCTCTGTCTGGGTCAGCTGGAAAACCCACATTTCTGGCATGGGCTGGAAACTTCCACCCTTTTGATGTTATCTTAGGGGGCGGGTTGGGAAGACGGTAACCCCTGGCCCAGCTTGTCTCCCAGCATGAGCTGCTGTCCCCATGGTAAGGTCAGAACACAGAGGCCAGGCTTCAGAGCTCGGCTAGAGGTCAGGAGGATAGAAGGGAGGGCCCAGCTCTGCTGGGGCAGGACATTGCAAAGTCCCACCGGTCATGGGCTCACAGTGGCCTGGGGGCTGGCTGCTGTCCACGCCCCTGAGTCCACGCCAGCAGAGGCGGAAGCAAGATGCCCCCCTGTCCTGGCGTGCCGCTTCCACCTGCCCTGCACCCCCTGTTCCTGGTCTGGAGCGGGGTCCACTTGACCAGCCACTTCCATCAGCACAGGACCTGCGAGCTGCCTGATCTGCAGCCTCGTGGTCCTGCTTCCACCGCTTAGGCAGGTCCTTTGCCTCTCTCGTCTCCTTAGTTTTCCTGTCTGTATTATGGGGATGGAAGGCATGCCCACCTTGCTTCCTTCCCGGGAGGATGAGGAGCTCAAAAGCAGCCAGGTGGTTGGCCCCCTCTGAGTATTTACTATGCACCAGGATGGTGCCAAAAGCCCTTTTCAGGCAAGATCTCAAGGAGCCTTCCAACAGCCCCATGACGCCACCGCTCTGATCATCCCCACTTTACCGAGCGGCAAACTGAGGCACACGCCTAAGTCCACAGTGAGCCAGAATTTGGGCCCAGGCAGTTCAAAGGGCTTACCTCGTGCTTCCAGGAGGGCTGGTGCCTAGCATGCGTGATATTTTTAGGGGCTCCCAAAATGTTTTAGTTTCTTTAAAATCAGAATGACTATAATCCAGCCTGGATTATATAGGTCTTCTTACCAATGCGGTCATAACATTTGCTTTTCACTTTTTTTTTTTTCTATTTTAATGGAGGAAAGTGACCGTGAAAGCAAAAGTCATGTTGCCACCAGACACTGACACCAGGCAGAAGGCCTGCCGCTCAGGAGCTGGTCGGCGTGGAGGCTGGGTCTCACACTGCAGGCGGGAAGGACTCCCCCACACAAGAGCTGTGACACCGTGGTCAAGGGTACAGGCCCTGGGCAGGTGCCACCCGAGGAGGGGAAGAAATGGTTGGGTGGCGGGATCTCTGCCAGTGATTTGGGATTAAAAGTTTTTAATGCAAGGTAAAGCCGGGTGAACACTGACCTAGCTCGCGCCCCTCCCATTTCCTGCTCCTGACTCCTCCTGGAACTCACCCCCCCAAGACGAGACTCGGGGGGGGGGGGCAGGCCAGGGAGGTGAGTGCACCTGGCCAGGATCACCCAGCGGCCTTGAGTCACGGTCTCCAGAGAGGGGGCTCCCCTTTGCTCACCACTGCCTTTTGATTTTAACGAGGGCCCCTCCTGGCAGCCCCTGGCTCCTGGCCTGGGTCATGAGAGCCCAAACAGTGAGTCACTGAGGAACTAAGTCTAAACAACTGAAAAGGAGCTTTGATTCCTGGGAGGTTTGGCACCTAGCCCTCCCTGCAGCAGCGTAAGGGTGTTTCCCAGGAAGGGCTGGGTTTCTGAGGCAATTCCTTTGGTGAGCCATGTTGACTCCTGGCCTGGCCAGGATAGGGCCCCTGCTAGCTTCCTCCATGTGCACCTGGGGCAGAAAACCAAGGACTGTGGGGCCAGAGCCAGGCAGGGAAATCCAGGTGGGCTTGCAGGCAGAGGTGTCCCCAGCTGACATTTTGGGGGTCGGGGGGTTTGGGGAGGACTTAGACGCGGAGGAGAGTTTCAGGTATTTGGGACACGTGGTTGGTTTTATAGTTTTCAGACAGTGACACAATGTGGTGGAAGGTGCCTGGGTCTCTGCATCGGCAAGATTAGGACTCGAGTGTTTGCTCTGCCACTTAGGGGCTGGGTGACCTTGGCCAGGCCTGTCACCTCTTTGGGCTTAGCTTCGTCATCCATAATAGGGGGATAATTGGAACTACCTTTCAGAGTTGTGGACCGGACAGAAAGGAAATGAAGGGTGTAGAGTTCTCTGCGGGATGCCGCGCCCACGGGAGGCCCCCACAGACGCCGGGCCCCTCCTTCCCTTCCTCCTTACCTGGCCACAGGGGAGACAGCTGCTGTCCCAGGAGCTCCGAGCACCCACCCCCGCTGGGGTGGATCATAGGTGGCTGGGCCCCCAGTGCTCGGACAGGATGATGGCCCCCACTTGACGGATTTTAACTCCTTCGATGGAGGGTGGTCGGGGGGAGGTGAGTAGAAGGAAAAGAGCCGAGTCTCAAAGCAGCGTCTTCTTTCTCCTGGTGTAAACGCGTTCCTTGTAGAGGAACAGCGTAGAAGCTGTACCCGCCACTCCGCCCCCATCATCCTACCATTTCCTAAGCTCCAGACATGCTGCAGGCACCGGGCTGAGAGCTTGATCTCGTCACCTCTGTGGCTTCCCTCAGACCCCCATGATTCCGGCAGGCGTCTTCCAGAAAAGTGGGGTAACCTTATTCCTGAAGGGATTCGTTGCCTCTTCAGTCAGTCACCTATACCGGGGACTTCCTGTGTGCCGGGCAGAGACCGAAGAGCCACACACTGTGATTCCGGCCCTCAGGGAGCTCCCAGCCCAGTAGGGAGACAGACATTAGTAATTACATACTGAAGGGAAACTTACAAATAGGCATAAGTGGTTTGACAGGATGGTCCATGGGCCTCTGAGAGCATTTATGGGGGTGTCTGATCCAGGCAGGGGGCCAGTGAGGGCTGCTGTGTGGAAGAAATAGTTTAGCAGGGGTCTCCAGAAGTTAATCAGGCAAAAAGGAAGGCAGAGAGGGTTTAGTTAGAGAGACAGCCTGTGCAAAGGCCCTGTGGTCCGAGGACATGCATCCAGGAGGGGCTGAGAGGCGGCTGAGGTAGCTGTGCTACTTACTGGTGGGCGGGCCTCAAAGGGCATGATTCACTGGGAAGCTGACCCCGGGAACTTGACCTCCTGTTCACCCCACGGTATGCCTTTTCCTTGAGGCTGATGGGCAGGTGGTCTAGAGCTTGCAGAATGCTGGAGAGGGCCCCGGAGTCTCCCATGAGGATGAGGCCCCTCTCGGAGGGAGACCTGTGGTATTTTCATCCCAGTGAAGAGAAGCTGTGGACACCCAAAGACCAGGGAGACTTGTCCCTCCGCTGGGAACAGGCTTTGTACAGCTTTCATCACGCAGCTGGCTTCTCCCATTTGTGATGGAGGGGAAAGGACAAGAATCCTCGGCGTGGGCCTGCTGTCATCTTTTATAAGGCCACCTACATCCTTGTAAAACGGCACGGCTGCGCCTTGTTGGTCTTTGTCCAGGGAACAATGGAACGCCAATGAAGGGTTTTACACCAGGAGGCGTCCCGCTCCTACCCGTGTTGGGACAAGATGGTGCTGGCCCCCGAGGGAAACCAGCCAGGAAGAGAAGCCCAGTTCACAGGTACTGTCAGCTCCAGGATGGCATGGGCATCGGGTCACAAGAGGGGCCGTCCTGGGACAGACTAGCTGGGTGGTGGCGTCTTAGAGACGGCGTGAGTGTATCGGGGCCACCGCCGGGTTCACTGAGGCTTCATGGATGCGGGGGTCTTGGGGAGGGACGGGAAACAGCAGACGCTCATCCCATGAAAGTTCCACTGCCCCAGGCTGACCCAAGGAGGTAGAGGGAGGGGGACTCAGGGGAGTAGAGACGCCCACACAGGTGCAGGCAGGTGCCTGGTGAGGCACAAGTGTCTGTGTGTTTTGGTGGGATGCCTGTGTCTCTGAGCGCCTCTGTGTGTGTGGTGTGTACACGTAGGCCCCCGCCCACTGCGTGGGCGCTCAGTGTGGTAGGGTCCCGATTGAGAGGATGCTCTGGACTCTGGGGTCGGGCTGCCTGGCTTTACCACTGGCTAACTGGATACTCTTGGGCAAATGACCTCACTTCCCATGGTCTCAGTTTCCCCACCTGTACAGTGGGGATAATAATGGCACCCGTTCCTGGCACCCGTTGGAGTTAATCCAACAGTACCTGCAAAGTGCTTAGAAGAGGAACCTGCCCTATAGGAGCAGTTGTACTAGTTAACACAGATGAACTAGCGGGCCTCCCCTGCAAAGCCCCTTCCTGCTTGGAACCCCCTCCCATCCCCTCTTTCCTGGAAGCCTCCAGAACCTGTTCTGCATGGTGGTGGTGGGGCTTGCCCCTAAGACTTTAATGTTTATGGGGTCT